TGTGGCTCTTCTGCCCTGCCTGTTCAACAATCTAGGGTCTGCAACCTCACCCTCACTTCCATGTTCCACATTCCAATAGAACCCCTTGGGGTTCAAGGAACAAAAATACCTGACTCACACTGAATTAAATACTAAGGAGGTTTACTTGGTTCATGTAACTCAAGTATGCGAGGCTCATCATGTCCTTAGGATCCAGCTCTGGTGCTCTGTGATTCCCCGAGCTCTCCTTTCTTCCATGGGTTGTCTATTTCATGGTAACAAAATGGCCACAAAGATTCTAGGCTTCTCATCTACATATCACAACATCCGGAGCAAAAGAAAGAGCCTTAGTCTCATCATCTAAGCAGGTTGGGTCACATAACCTAAACCAGTTGATTGTGGCACTGAACCATTGCTGCCAGGAGATTAGACAGCTTTCATTGGCTTAATTTAGGTACTACATATTCCATCCCTGAATCCAAGAACTACAAGGTTCAGGAGGTTAGACATCCCCCAAAAGAGGTTGCTCTGGAGGATATGACGTTTTGAAGGAATGTCTGTCTACCTTATGGGCAAGAGTACCAGGTGTTAGCTGAGTCCCTACCCGTTCTTGCCAATGAGCTCTGTGTCCCCAAGATATTCAGGGAGGCAGTAAAGAACCACTGGGATTCAAGGGCCCACTGAAAGCTTGAGCAATATCATTGTCATTGTCACTGATGACTATAAATCAGAGACCCCTCCTCCACTTTCTTAGTGTCTTGTAAACCTCCCTGATTCTGGTGCAAACCCAAAAGAGGACGACAACTCAGTAATGATTGAGATGGAATTTCCTATAGCTTGAGGGTATGTGGTCTGGGAGAAGTTGACAAAATACTACAATATTTTTTGATTTTTTTGTAGCATTCTATGAACGGAGATTCATGTCATTGTGTAGTTTGCAACAAAATTAAATCAATTTACAAAAAACTTACTAAAAATTTAGGGAAGAAACATCCTAAAAACATTCTCATGATTGAGGAACGATAGCTGGAAAACAATATAATTCCTGTTACTACTCATTTAAGATAAATAAAATGTCATTGCTTATGTGTTTCTACTGTTCTACTTTAGCAAATGTACAAAGTATTAATAAAGGATTTTCTGAAGGGAAACTCTTTCTCTTTAGCATTATTTTCCCACATGATCTTGGCGTTTTGCAGCCAACAATAAAAATAGCCCCAGGGGCTTTAGAAACTGAAGCCTGGGGATGGGACAAACTGTGAAACGCAGCGTTGTTAGTTCATACCGTTAATTCAGTTATTATTTATTCACTCTGCGAGCAATTATGATTAGTAGTGATGACACCCTTAAGAATAGTCTTTTGCGGGGAGGGGGTCCGACAAAAGTTGTTTCCAAATTTCCAGTCAAGCTTTCCAAGTTAAATTGTTTGTTAGTTTCAACAGTCTAGGAGGCAGGACCAGAAATTTTAGAGTAATCCTGAAAAAGATTATTCCTTTAGAAGGATGTTTACAAGTTCCAGTTTCAAGTATCCAAGAACTTTCAATGAAACGCTGAGAACTGAAGGTAATATTTTTCTCAGTATTGGCAAGTCCAGTCATTGCAGGGTAAAGTTTCTTGATTATTTCAGATTTGCATTACATTTCCTAAATAACGAAATTTATATTTTTATTCCAGAGCTCACATGCTGAATGAAAATATGGAGACTTCTCTAGCTCATTCCTCTATTGGCTATGTGTACGGCTTGCTTTTTGAACACCTAATTGTAACATTATTCGAGGAACCATAACCTATTTTTTTTAACGAAAACCCACCGTCGCTTCATAAAGGGCTTCAGAAAATTATAGGCAAAAGGAAAGTAAATTACAGGCCATTATGTGTTTAATGATATGCAAATGCTGTTAAATTAGAACATGATTGTATTACTGTTCTGTGGGGAAGAACACATTTAAACAATTCAAAATAACAAATCTAATTGCTTTTTAGCACTGAGATCTAACAATAAATCAGAAATTAAAAATCATACATATATTGAATTACATCTTGAATTTCATAAAAAGCAATTTCATAATAGCAGAGAAAAGTGCGAACTGCTTGTAGCATAAATGTTTTGTTTCTATTTACTGAAAGGTGGACAGTATTTTGTTGTGTGAGTAAGTAAGATAACTACATAAGGACATCTCTTCAATGGCACGTCCACAATCTTATAGAAATTACATAATTTAACCCTACATTTTCTTACATGTTAACTGAACAATGTTAACTGACTGTAAAAAAACAACTGGAATCACATCTGGAATTTAAACCAAGTGAAATAATCTGATGATTGCAGAGCTTTTCAGAGAGCAGAGAAATAAATTGTGTAAAGGGAATTTCAGCATTTTCCTCTCTTCATTTCCAGTTCGTAGTGGGTATTTCTTGTTTCTTGGGTAAGAAAATGTCATCCTGGGCTACTCTGCTCTATGGACGGGCACCTGTTGGTGAACTCCAAGGTTCTGCACAGAACATGATCGACACCTAGTGGCCACAGGCAGGACCCCTGCATGGCTTTTCTTGGCCAGCCACAAGTGATGTAAGAAGAGGATCTTTGTAGGAGAAAGGAGGAATTTTAACCCCCATATCACTTCTCCCTCACCCCAAATTTGATCCACTTTTGTCATTGTCAGCCTTATTTCTTCAAACCAGGTGCATTGAACTAATGTAACTAATAACATGAAGCTAATCATGTTTGCTCCACCTTTAAGCTATTTGAAATGACAAAAATAAAAGAAATTAATAGTGGCCATAGTGGTTGAATGTATACATAAATATATTTTTTGCACTTGGGCTGAATCAGGTGTTTATACTATGAACAAAAAAAATTGTAAAACAGTACGTTTCTGCATTCTTTTGAGTTAAATTTCTGTGATTTTCCCCCAAAGGTGTCTACCCAGGAGATATAAATAAAACTCAGTCAGAACTGGATTTTTCCAGACTAGTACAGCAAAGAAAAAATGTGGAGAGGAGTTTTCTTACCATAGCTCTCTTGGCAGCCACTTCTGGTTGGGGAAAAAAGAAGGAAAGAGGGTCAGGGAAGGAGAATCTTAAAAGTGTTCCCCTTGCTCCCCGCTTGCTGCTGATTCAGTAAACAAGAAAATAAAAATACCCAGAGGTGCGTTATTTCAGAAGTCAAGGAGGTAATACGTGTTTCATTAGTTGATGTTAAACACTTTATAGAACAGTACAAGCACATGCTAAAATGTCCCAGGGATTTTTGCTTTTTTGTTTGTTTTTGTGAGATAGGGCCAATTGTTTGTATGTTTCCATAAATATGTGCTGTGTCTGTGTGTGTCTGTTGGAGGAAGTCTTCTGATTCCATGGCCGAGTCACCCGATACACCTAGACAAAGAAGTCTATTATCACCAAGACTTTCTTAGATTAGGACGATATAGTAGCTGTTGTGTTTCCATAGCAACCTATGGGGAGGTTTAGTCAGAAAAGAACAGGGGCCCCAGGCATGGCTGACAGAGTGATGACAGTGAGGATTGGACAAAAAGAAGCACAGGACCAGGTGAAAGTGCTGTTGAAGACTGCCTGTATGCTCTGTATCACAGATTCTATTTTAAAATAGGTGTTGTCTAATTCAAAATAAATCAAGTTAATAAAATCAGCAGAGGCGATCAGTAAATAATTGTTTACTTGATCATCACATTAAAGAGTAGAAATCTGATGTCTTGGGGAGACTTGTTAGCTTGGCTTGAAAAGAGAAAAAGGAATAAATCAGGTTGGGTAAAACGTACTTTCTCAGAATGCTCCAGGGGAGATATTATATAATTTGGACCAAATGAAGAGGTTATTTTTGGTATTTTTAAAGTTGTCCTTCATCCATGAAGCCTCCCCAGACTGGGTAAGGAAAACGGAGGTTTTAAAGACCTGTACTTGGTCCCTTCTCTGGCGTATCCAATATGTCTATTTTGAGTTAGTTAAATTCAAAAATAACATTCTGAATAAGATAATAAAAAGTCAAAAGTTTAAACAAATTAAAAATGGATGTCTACCTGTATGTTGATGTCTACAGTGTGTGTCTCCTCAAAATCATGAACTCCTAGAAGTAGGCACTACTGAGAACATTCCACAGAACTGTAAACAATGATGGTCCTTAAATTACCTTAATGGATGTATTTAACCATTTGGAGGAATCAACTGTAGCAGCAGTGTAAACACCTACTGGCTTACATTGCTACATTCCTATGTCCACCATCCCTTCAGGGACTTTTCTATGTCTTGGGTAAGTTTTCCAATAATCCTGATAAAGATGAGAATAACTAATAATAAAGAAGATTTAGACAGCTCACCACAGTTTACAAAGTGTTTTCACATCTACTTGTTAAAAGCGGGTATGATTATTGTCCCTGCACTTTATAGAAATTGAGAGTTGGGGAAATCACAAAAATTTTTGGAGGTCAAACAGCTAGTAAGTGGACGATCTAGTCTTCAAAGCTAGGTCTTTGGACAATAAAGTCCCAGGTAATAACAGCTAGACGGTCTTATCTCTTCCAGAAGTACTTTCAGTTTACTGGGGAACTTTAGTAAGAAAATGTAAAAGGCCTTTAAAAATCAAAAGATTAACTTTCCAATGTTGAGATGTTGGATAATTTTTATCTAGAGGTTTTGTCTTCAATCATATGAGCATCCTCTTGGCATGGCATCTCCATGATTGGTCCTGCTCTGGTAGGAAACAGGCAGCTAGGAGGTTTGGGTAGCCTGGTTCACTTGGGAATTTATCTTACAATATCCAAATCAACATTTTGCTGTTAATCATTAAGTGGAATATTCTTATTAAGGGTGCCACAAATTTGGATGTGCCATGTCTCTTTGTATAAATAACCAACTGAGGAAGAGTGCTAATCAGTTCTCTATAATACCAGTTTAATTACTTTCTATATGATTTATAGAGGTGTATGTCCAGAGGTGTTAATTAATGAAATAACTCTCCTTTTTTCCTTTATCCCAAAAATACTGACCTGACTACACTGAACAGCTCTTCATGCAGATGTCTTTATCATGCCTAAAGAAAGAAATGGTAGAAGTTAAAAAGAATCATAAACGGGCAAAAAACCACTCTGGAGGGAAGTTAGGATTCTTGGGTTGAAGGCCTGGCTCTGCTTTCCACCCACTGTGTGACCTTGGACAAGACACTTCATCTGCATCTGAGTTTCCAGATGTGGGAAAAATTGTTCTTGGATCTTTTACTTTTACAAATATTAAACTCCCAGCTGCCAATAATGTATTAGCAATTAATCAAACAGCTCAATTTTTAATGTATCTGTAGTCTTTAAGCATATGTGCATATCAGAGTGCCCAGACAGAACTCTGTTAATTCTCCAAAAACGTCATGACCAGAAAACTGCTAAGAACAGAGAATGCATGTGACCTCAAAGCAAGATGGTTTTCTATGGCATACACACACCTTCATGGAAGACCTTAATGGAAAATGTAGTCAGTTTGTGCATTCACTGATTTTTCAGTGTGTGTCTAGAAATTCATTATTGAAAGGATATTGGTCTTTCTTATCAGGATTTTGTTTTATAGCGTGAGGGCACCAAATGTTATCAAGTCATTTGCTATATGATCATTTTGGCGGGAGTCGAAAGAAAAGACAGACAGGTAAGAGAAAGAAAGGAAGAAGAAGAGTAGGGAAAGAAAAATTTTAAAAATACTTTGGTTAAGAAAAATTTTTACCTAGTGACTACCTAAAAACTAGGAAGAGTAATTTCCACAATGAGGATTCGAAAGAATATAGAGAGATATCTAGTCCTGATATACAAGACTCTCTAAGTATTCTAAGTCCAAAAAGAAGCCTCCGAATGTAAGATTTAATGGAAGTATCTATTTGTCTAGACATTAAACTTATGATAATTTCAACTGTGTTGTACTCAGCTATTTTAAATTTCTTAAACGTCAAAACAAAACTCAGAGCCTATTTACTTTTATTTATTATAGAAATATTTCAAGCTCAGTGAGTAGGTTTC